AACGCCTATAGGTAAAGTTCTATAGTATTTCACTTACAAATCTATCACCGTTCAAAGTTTATCACATGATTACAGATGTCTGATAGTGTTTGAATGCAATATTTTATTTTACAAATCATAATGATCTAAAATTTTGTAAGTGTGTGCGTCTTAGTCATGAATAAATATAAAACATAGAATTTGTGTGATAAAACTTATACAAAATACCCCTATAAAGTTTCAGGGGTAATTCTATCATTTTGTTTTATGACTATTATTTTTTGAATATTTTATTTTGGTGTGACTTGGTCATATGTACACATGCCCCAAATTTTCGATAAATCTGATTAGTACAATAATTATAAAAATTCAAATACTATGAAACAATCATGACCGTGTGATGAACTTTGGATGGTGATCAAGTGTAGGTAAAGTACTATAGAACTTCACCTATAGGCATTTTATAGATGCTTCTATATATATATATATATATATATATGTGTGTGTGTGTGTGTGTGTGTGTGCGTGTGTATGTGTGCGTGTGTATGTGTGTGTGTGTGGAGAAACATAACTCTCTTATTTGGATCGGAAGGTTGAGGGTGAGCTATGAGCAATGATACATTAAATATGGCCTTGATTAATACAATTGATGCAAGCATGCATGTATTCTTTAAAGCTCGCTCTCAGTCATCCAATCAAACACATGTGAGATACATATAAATTGCATTAATCTGGGGACACATAGAAAGGTTTTCCAATTCATTGTCGTAATGAAATGAGAAAGCATGTCAGTAGACAATGTTAGTTCACATTTGGTACATAAGGTCACTATTATCCCAAGTCACAAGATGTGAAATCTGGTGGCTGCGGTCATCCTATTGACCATGCTCAAAGTCCAAGAAAATTTTTTCTTAAACTCTGTATAGAGAAGTGTTTTGAAACATGATGATTTTCAATCTGGATTATAGATCCGGATAGGAATCAGTGGGACCGAACCGGTTCGGGATGGTATGGGTCCCATCTCAATTCCCCCCTAGAACCCTCTTTATATATTTTTCCATTTTTTAAACCTTATCTAATATTTTTTTACGTCTTCTCTAAATCCCCACCCACAAATACCTAACTTTATTTTTACTTTATTTCATTCATTTTTTTTTTATCACTGATTCAGACCAATCCAAACCCGATCCGATTCACCAATCCGACAAGAATTTGTACCCGATCCGATTCACCAATCCGACAAGAATTTGTTGGTAAACAATATACCTCACCGATATGAGTTTTCAAATAGAGGAATGGCACACTTCAGTCGATAGAATTTACATCGGACCGTTGAGAACAAATAGGAGAGTGAAAATTAACTCGCGTGGCTGCCCAAGGCGACACAAGGGGCAATTCGAACCGAATGCGGCCTAGGTGGGGTCCCATCATTAGGAAATGCACCAGGGCGCCTAGGCCAAGGGCAAAAATTAATAAGTTCCTTCCCTATAAAAAGGGGAGCATGGGTTATGTGGGCATTTTAGCACCCCAAAGCCCCATTGTGCTAATTTTATCTTTAATTTCAAGTTTCAAAGTCATGTATGTCTAAGTTTGAACTGCACATTAAAATAACACACATGGAAAATAGTGAAATTTAATAAAAAAAAAAATGTTCCATATACTAAGTCGTGGTTCAGTAACCAACAAAACCACCCAATATTATCTTCAAAGGCCTAGAGCCCCCACCCGGGTATTTGGGCACCTGCCTAGGCAGATAGGACCCCTAGCCGCCTAGGCAGATGAATCCACCTTCTTTAACACTTCTAAATAGTAACAAGAGAGAGAAAGAACAAGAGGGAACCAGAGCATATGCAAGAAAATAAGAGAGCTAGCATGTGTGTGTGAGGGGGAGAGAAAAAGAACAAGAGAGAACCAGAGCATATGCAAGAAAATAAGAGAGCGCGCGTGCATGTGTCTGTGCGAGGGAGATAGAGATAGACAAAGAGAGAGAGGAACAAACCAAGAGCATCGGCTGAGAGAACAAGAGACAAAAGAAGAACTGAGAGGACCATGGAAACCTTGTATGCCATGGTTGGTGATGTATGATGCTAAGAGGGAACTGTGATGGGGTTAAGGACTTAAGCAAAGGGATCCTGCACTCAAAGGGTATATCTTAAGAATGCTAGAAGGTGAAGAAAATCAGGGGCCAACTTATATTAAAAAACCATGGGCTAACTGTTCTCATTAATGGGAAGATAAAATTAGAAATGGCCTGCACTCCCTTTATTAATAAACTTTAAGTTTTAGAGTTGACTTTTATCTTGAAGGTTCCATGCATGAATATGTTAAAAGTACTTAAATGGTAACTTCCTAATTTCATGCACAAATCTGTTAAGAACTTGACTGCTTTTAGCTTTGCCTTCTTTACTTCAATATTTTGTGCATGAATCTGTTATAAGTACTTAGTGGTTTTAGATTTCATTTCTTAATTTGAAGATTTCATACATGTATCTGTTAAGCACTTAAGTGGTATGAATCTTAGTTTTTTTTTTTTCTTTTTTTTTGTTCTTTTTCAGTAGGTATTACGGCCCCTCCCCATTTTACAAATTCTAAGGTTAGTTTTTTGAAATTGTCAATGGGGTTGAAAGGCACATCATGAGTGCTACCGCCACAATCCCTACTCCTTTCCCCGAATCTAGATTGTTGTATATTGCATGTTTCAAGTTACTAGGTGGAGTTGGATCTATTTTTTTAGTCGTATAAATACTATAATAACTTAAGCTTCAAGGAGCACAATCTTCTCTCTTCTTCTCTCAATATGAATTTTCGGGACGAGGAATGCAATTTACCACTAAAGTATCATGTTACTTAGAAGGTTGTGGTTTTTATAAGGTTGAGGCCTTAAACAGTCAAATTAAGGCATACTTCTAAATAGTGGAAAGGTAATTTTCAGCAGCAAAAATCTTTTTGAGGAGCTAAAAATTTATTTTTATGTCTAATTATAAAATCTAAAGCTTATAAAATAGTGTAGATTGAACAGATCTATGAACACTTGAAAATATTGAATATTGTGACCTCCATATGCAAAAGATAAATAGTCTCTTTGTAGACAATCCCGTTAAAAAATTATGTTACTATCATAACATCTGGTGACTGGCGAGTTTTATTTTTAGAGGTAAAATATATTAAATGCTAATTGGAACGTTAATATCCGAGAGCTTTTTTTGCATCCCCACACAACATATATAGTTTATATACATTCAGAGACATACAATCATTGAATCGATAACAATGTCACACACTAATAGTGGAATAACAAAAATAGAGAACCCCAATCTGACATTATTTCAGCTCTCATACATATGATCAAAAATAGATGACTATAAATCTCTATGGATATTAAATATAAAAAAAATATCTTCATACTCCTTATTTTGGTATACCATTTCCTCATACCTAAGGTTTTCAAAACTTTCTAATTTTGTAAAAAAAACATTTCTTCTAACCCTAAACCCAATTTACCATTTTTTACTGCTCTTTTTGGCCAAAACAAAAACTAAAAAAACACCTCTGTTGTTCTATTAAACGCTTTATTTTTCTCTCTCTCTCTCTCTCTATGCAGGAAAAAGAGACATTATAGAGAGAGAAATAAAGACGTATAGAAAGAGAGAGGTTTAATAGATAGAGATAAAAGTTTCTTTTGAATTTTTTTTTTGGGCAAAAAACGAACAGAGAGAGGTGTAATAGATAGAGATAAAAGTTTATTTTGAATTTTTGTTTGGGCAAAAAACGAACAGTAATAAAGATAAATTGAATTCAGGGAGTTAGAAGATATAATTTTTAAAAATCCTATGTTTACATAAAGGTTTTAGAACTCTAGGCCTACAAGAAAATGCTACACCGTATGGTATGTGTGTTTGCATGCGTGTCAATATACGCATGTGTGTCAATATACGCATGTGTGGGTGTGTGTGCGTATGCACGCGGAGATAAAAAAAAATAGTCGTTCATTTCCTTCGAAGCAGAATCTAGCAATACTCAAAAGGAAAAACAAGGTGGTGGGAACCACTAAAACTTGAACTCTTAGTTTGCTGAGATTAGATATATTCAAAATTGGTTTTGAGTGTCAAGTAGCAGTACCAGTCCTAAGGCGAAACTGGATTCAAGTACGCTTTAGTTGATATGATTTTAGATATGTGATTTTGATACTGATGCAAAAAAGTGGATACAAAGTATGCTATTTCATACAATTAGTACCACTATTCTTTCTTTCTTTCCTCTTTCTTTTTTTTGGAATAGTTCAGTGCGGAAAGGTATCTCCTACCTATAATAAGAATGGAATTCAACTTAATATGGAGTCCTGCCACCTTGAAAGATAAAAAGAAAAATCCAAAATATAGCACATAAAAAGAAAAGAAAAATTAACTAAAGACTTTCTCTTCCGTTTTCTATTTTTCAGGAAAGTTTTCTCTGAAAACCGAACTCACCAGATTTGAGATGCCTGAATAAAATACGTTGCCTTGAAAATTTCAATGATTTCCCTATGATACATATAGGAGCGTCGAAGAGAAGATTATCCACCACTAAAGATTTCAAAATATTCAGTCAGTTGAAATGTCCAAGAACCAATTTCCCTTTGAAAGAAATTAATTGTGTGTTTGGGATAGTACCCAATAAAGATATTTCCATCGGAGAAAAAATGGAAAAATTATCAAAATGCACCTAAAAGATTAACAATTTTGCATTTTACCCATTTATTTGATTTAATTTCAAAATTTCATTAAAATAAACATGATCATTTGGAATAGTTACTAGCACGGGTTTGTACACCCTTTATAGTAAACTTAAATAATATGTACAATAAGCCCAAGACAAAAAAGATTGTATACTATGAGAGCATTTATTTTTTGTACAAGGAGATCACAATCACTTTTAACCATTGGATGTGAAATATAATAGATGATCCATTTGATTTCAAATCTAATGGTCAATGATGGCTGTGACCTAAACCTAATATAAAAAATCTCACTTGACCTCCTCAATTATGGCCTTAGCCTTACATGCCTCCTTCCCCTTCACATTGGCAAACTTGTCCTCTACATTTGTATGCGCCAAAGCAGCTCTCTCTACCCCCACAAGACCAGCCAAAGAGGACCATGACCATGCTTTTCTTCCCATCCCTTGTTCATGAACCCAACACATCAGAAAGTAAGCTTTCTTAGAAGCAGCCCTCAGCTTTCTCCCACTTCCACGACTTTTCTTACCAATCCCTATATTCTCACCCTTCAACTCTCTCACTCCTTCCTCCATCAACCTCTGCAAATCATTAAGCATGCAAACCAAAACAGCCCCCCCAAGTGACAACAAACTCTTGGCATCCTCAAAAAGAATGAGGCCAAACGTTAGGCCTCCCACATGTTTATATAATGGAGAGCATGTCTTCTCCAAGCACAGGGCCAAGGCCTCGGAAACTGTTTCAGGTCTATGGCCTTCGCCCAAAACTGAAGAAATGCTCAAAAGCACCATTGAAGCACCAAGCGGGTCAGACTGCCAATCCCCATTATAGAGGCGGAGTGTGAAACAGTAACTATATATAACATCCACTAAGTGGACAGCTAAAAGTGGAGAGGGTTCAGTTTTAGTTAGTTGGCTAAGTGGGGCCATCGGAGCTTCGGGGCCCGGTGGCACATCGCTAAAGGGAGAATCAGGGTTCCCTTGTGGTGGATTTTCTTTGTGTAATGGTTGGACAAGGCGAGTTCCTTTGTGGCTTAAGGAGAGTGACTTTGCTGAAGGATTTAACCACCATGGGGTCCAAGGCTCTATCACATTGCTTAGCTCCCCTGAAGCCACAGCCCTTTGGAAGCGCTTCATTTCCTCCTCGGATAGATCGGAAAAGTTTACATGATTTCCTGAAGGGGAAACCAATATAAGACTAAGCACACACAGTGCATCAAAGAGGAAAGCAGGAAAGTTCGAACAGTAGTAACTTATATTCAATAAGCAAGTGTCCTAATAACTCTTAACAAGGAAAATTGTTTCATGCGGGCTGGACCGCATTTCTACATATGCGGTCCAGAAAGTGTAAAGCATCCATCTTAAAGATGGATGCAAGTAGGTTTCCATCTAAAAACTATGAAAACTAACGGTCCAAATGTTTTTTTACTAGAATTATTATTTCTAGTTTTTTAAATTTATTTATTTTTTCATATTCATGATCTCCATGTTAGATATTATATGTCCTTAAAAACTAAGTCTTAAAGTCCATCTCAAAAATAGATTTATTAAGAGGCCCGCATTTCTACAAATGCAGGCTAGGCCGCATAGAACCAGGTCCCTCTTACAATAGTTAATGAACTCTTATCACTAGGTAAACAAAAGGTAAGGGACCATAAGTTAGAACAGTAGCAACTTATATTCAACAAGCAATGAAACATTTCCTCCATGATTCCAAGGTTTAGAACAGTAGTAACTTATATTCAACAAGCAATGAAACATTTCCTCCATGATTCCAAGGTTTGGATCAAGAGAAGGCATTTTAGTAAGAACAGGGTGTGGATGCAGTTAGCTTAACTCACACACCAACCACCACAAACGAACACACAAAAAACCATAAATTAACCTTTTATAATAAAAATGCAGCAGTTAAATCAAGGGTTGTGGCCTGTCAAAGAGTCAGTATACTAAAGTGACCCACTAATTTATATTTAGGTGTACTAATAGAGCATTTATATGTTAATCTGGGTACAAGTCTAGCTCAAAAATATAATTGAAACTGCGAATTGTAAAGTATTTCAAGTATCAGTTGTAAGGTAAATCAAAAGCAATTGGCAACATAATAAAAGAACTATTTAAGCATGTAATCTATATCCATCATGATGGAAGTAAATTGAACCCTTGTGCTGCACCTCACAACTGTCCAATACACACACGCAGGCACGTGTGCGTACGCGCGCGCACACACACACACACTTAAGCAGAAAATAACTCTTTTCTGTAAATAAGATAAAATAAATATTGTTAGAGACAAATGCTCAGAAAACCAATATCAATTAACAATTGTATCAACAGTAATCCCTTTTCTCAATCAATTGCTTGAAGAAGGTTAGAATGAACAGCCATACCGAATAAAATCTTTTGGATGGTCTCCTCAGAAAGTAAGGAATCTGCCAGAAAAAAAAAAATCTGAGGGGATCATTCATCTTTGAATAACATCTGCAGTAGAAATGGTAGGTATGCAACAATATAAGAGATCTGCTCTCATGAAGCAAAAATACATGCAGAAAACTCAATAAGTCGAAATCTCAAATCACAGTGGGATAATCTGAAATCACCATTCGTGACATGTTATTAAGCACTGTGGTTCTCAATTTGGAACCACAGTTCTCAGATGACAAAACTAGAGCCAGTCCTCCCTAAATGGATAGCAGCAATTAATTTGACTGCAATTACCATTACAACCCATTCTCCAGTTCCTCATTAAATGGAAGTCTGGCAACTTAAATTGACTATATTCAATGGACTTCGTATTATACAAAAATATAACTCCACGAAATTTGCTATTTACACAAAAAGTACGTGAATTTGCAACTAAAACAGAATTTAGTATCGTGGCCTTCTATTGAATATGTAGACCCTATGAAAAAGGCATGTTAAATTCTATTTATTTATAGTGTATGGGAATTCCCATGACTGTCATGATCAAAGATGCCTTAAGGATATTGAGGCATCATCATCTACTTGATGTTTAACAGAATTGTGCTAATCGACAAGTTATATATTAATAAGTGGTATTCCAGACATTTCAGTAATTCAAATGTTTGACATCTTAATACTTTGGGTATTCGATCTTTCAGAAAAAAAATTATCTTTGGCTGAAATCAGCAAATTTCCGTTCAATGGCTGTTTACCCAGCGCCAATGTTGTCCACAGTTTCTTGATTATTATCGTAGTTGTATGGCCTACCTTGGACCTATGTCTCCTTATAAAATTACCCCTTTCTATAAGAAAGATAAATCGTCAGACATGCAAAACTCCGCTCTTTTTTTCTTTTATGTGTTTCTTCACAATTCTATTACTAAGAAGAAAGATTCACTCCAAGACAGTCAACCTTCCAAGTTGAGAAGGACTATAGAGAAGGATTAACTCGACATAACACATGAGTTACTATGATCAAAAGCATAGGGAAGTTATGTTGCATGGATACAGGTAACAGTGGCAGGGTTAGACAAGTATGGGGCGTCAAATTCCTCATGCCATGAAGAACAGAGTTCAATGACATGGCCATACCATAGAGGCACAAAAAAATCCAACATGGTTTACTTATATTCCATCTTACTCAGAGTAGCTAAAAATCGATAGTGCCTCAGTACACTAAATTGATAAATATTTTCAAAATTCATGTGTCTTTCCTTTAAAAAGAAAAGAAGATCAAGTCTTCAAAGTTATGTCATCAATCGTTAGAAGAAAATTCCCAAAGAATGTGTCACTATGTGTCTCAATAGATGCCTAACACGGGTATAGCACCCAAAAAAAGACCATGTAATATAGTCGGGAAGCTACATTTTCATGGCACAGAACTTATTGAATGATGCATGATGAACAAATACCTTATCATGGGGATGAATGCGAGGACCCAAATAAATGGATTGCTGTGGGCATGCCCAAAACAATGTGAAAAAGATGCTCGATGCACGCGCATATTAGAGGAAGAGAGCCAAATAATGCAATCCATTTTGACTCCAGCCAAAAAATACATACTCAAATATTCATTTGGTCCACGGTCAATTCCTACTTTTGTAGTATAATATCTATGTGGTGATATGCAGTGATTCAGGTTACATACCATCTTCCTCATCGTTACACGTTTCACTAGGGGTTTCTTGTTCTTCTAAGTGAAATCTTTTTAGTATATCCAACATCTTTTGCTTTGTTTCATCTTCTGGTTGAATCTGATGCAATTCCTCCATGACATTTTCCCGCATGAAAGATTCTGTGCAATGAAGACCATGCCTCTGCCACATCAAAAAGTAATCCTCCACATAAGAAATGAAGCATTAATATTTAGGCCAGAAGATTTTGAAAATATTTACTAGAAATTTGATATGGTTAGATTTAAAAGCTGTGTCACATAAATTATTAATAGGATGCGAGATTTTTTATTGTAATGAATTTTTTTTTTGTTTATAAACTTAACGTTTTATTGTAATGAATGTTTACGCATGCTATCAAAAAATATACAGGCATGAACACAATAAGTTATAAAAACAATAAATCCATAATTGCATTACATTTGTCATAAATAAACTAGTTATCAAATAGCTTAGTCGTTATAGATAATTTTTGCCATCACAAAAGTTTTATTTCAACCCCATTGAAACAGATATTATTGCATCAAGGAAATGAAAAAAACTACAAACATCGAAAATTCGAAATGCATTAGGTAGTGGTTACGCTTGAGTAAATGAGGACAAAAACCAAATGAGAAATACTTTTGTTAGATGAAGTAACCAAATGAAATATACTTCTTTAATTAAATTATTCAACTTTGTAATCCTGCAAAATTATTTCTTCATAATTCATTACTTATTTACTGACTTGAATTTTTTTACTACTGAAGAGATAGTTACTATATCATTTCATCATTTTTCCATATCATTAAAATTGTAACCTTCATATTTGCTAATATCATTATGTTTGAGCCCCGTGTTTTCTGTGACATTACCATGATGTCCTAAACAACCAATTACTGGCAATCATTTGGAAACAACTAGTATGATTTTCAAAATATTGGTACCATAACAAGAAATAGAGGACAAAAAGCTGCAGGTAAGTTGACAAATTTAGGTGCCTTTCATCTCCTTAGTTTAGATATAACTAAGTACGATCTGTGTAACTCTTGGTGACAAGATAATGCCGCTTTGATATTCCGATCATCTAGATGTTACTTTGACCCTACAATGAGGCATTATGATTTGTTGCGTTGGCCAGTTATGGTGTCATTATTTGAGACAAACTCTTAAGACTCATTACTGGTTGCGTATCCTCATGATAGAACATGGTAAAGAACAAATTCCAAATTACTGAATAAACACCTTTAGAGAGCGCATTCATAAGTACGGACTTAGCAGGGAGGAGCTTGATTGGTTATGGTGTTGATGATTGCAACACCATGTCCCATGTTTAAATTCCACTCTCGAGCCACCCCAAAAAATAAAAAGATTGTGTTTTCTAACTAATAAAATGCTATTTTCAAAAGATTTGATGATGATGATTTCTAAAGGTGGGGATTTGATGACATCCTAGTTCACTCCAAATGTTTGGCTACTACAAATTTGACAAAAAAAGTAGAACTGCCCATAGACTACATATGTTCGCCATTCACCCAGCAAATTTGGTAGTTAAATGACATCCATATTAAAAACCTCTAATGAGGATTTATGGGATTGATTTAGTATTATAGTAATTAGCATGTTAGACTGAAACCAATGAGCACATGATACACCACAATGCCATCTAACAAATTACCTTGTAACACGGAAGGGAACAATATCGAGAGTTGCACCGTGGGCAAGTGTATTGTGAAAATTGCTTCTGGCATCTACACAAGAAATAAGAAACCCTAAAATTATCATGGAAGAGGCTAGAAGACATGAGCATCACCATTACGGGCAAGATTTGAATACATTGGTCAAGTCACACAATGTTAGATTACATGCAATATAAATATACTGAAATTATCTGAATATGTTGGATTACATAAGTAACCGACTCCAGCAAATGTAGATTAGAAATCTTATCTCAAGACCAGTAGCTGTAAACAATTGAACAATTAGATCAATTCTTCCTAGCCAAAGTTGGGGATTTCCGATCACAGGTAAGATCAGTTCAGAATCATGGGATCCTTTCCTATCAAATAGGAAGGGCCTTTGCACAAAATGCACTTCTAGGTGATAGCTCCATAGATTCTATATCTATCTATATGGAAAAGAAATCATGTAAGGAAGGGGATTCTTATTTGTACAAATGGTATTTCGAACTTGATATGAACGTAAAGACAATAATGATACTTCTTTATATCTTGAGTTGTTCTGCTGGATTGGTCATTCAAGATCTTTGGTCTTCACCTAGACCTGATGAAAAAAATTGGATTACGTCTTATGAATTCGTTGAGAATGATTCTAATCTAGTTTATGGCTTCTCAATACGTGGAATGCATTAGCTATCCACTCTTCAGTTATGCAGTAAGGGTTGGAGAAGGGCAATCACTCACTCTTAAAACCAGTATTAAGACTAAATAGTAGGGCGGAGAGCTCTCCTTTCCTAATCGTCTTCTAACTGGATACTTCGAAACCACAAGAATCCTTAAATGGGATTCTAACTCGGCACCATTTGATGTTTTGAGAGTTGTTCTTTGGAGAGCACAGCCCAATGAAAGTTGTAAGCTGTGTTCAAGGGGGAGATCTTGTCTATCAGTGCTTCTACGGTAGAATTAGTTGGGGAAGCCTAAGATGCGGTGGTTCACCGTGTGGTAGACGTCAATGGTTTGAGTCTGCTTATCTCCAGTTCATGATCTTAGCCATACAAAGGTATATGACAACACCTTATTTTTCCAATTCGGTAGTTCCATCTATTATTTATCATTCTCGATGTTGATAAGACCACTACCAGGAAACAGCCACTCATGCATTAGTTAAAGATCAAGCTAAAATGCAAATTTGCTAAAAAGAGGAAAAATGATATATTAAGTTATAAACACTCAGTTTTAACCTATCGAAATCCTTTGTATTCTATGACAAAATCAACTTACTCGCTTTTACTTTTACTTTGTTGAGGACCAATTTCGTTGTGTCACTTGGTCAAGGACGATAGCAAAGTTTAGTCCTAAGCCAACCATTGATGGAGATATAAGCACAACAAGTAGCCACGAGTATCTTCTTTTAAAGCGACATATTCCTCCTAATTTTTTCTCATATTTGGAGGATGAAAACCCTAGGAAGGCTTCTAAGAAGAGCAAAAAATAGTTTGGATTTTTTTTTAGTTATTTGAGGCTATTTCATATTTTTTTATTTATTTAATTGTTAGACCAGTTAGGGACTTTTTAGATATTTTAATTAAAGTTAGAGAGTTTAATTTCATATTATACTTAAGTCAGGATCTTTTGGTCAAAAGTTAATTATATGGATAAATATTGCCCAAAACAATAATTTTCCAATATAAATAAAGGATAAAGCCTTAGGGTTTCTCCAAAATTGCTTATGTCAAGGTGCTTCTTGTTGATTTTTTCTATGTTTCTTCGAGTTCTCCTATATTAAGTGGTATTAGAGCCCGCGATCTACACGGAAGTTATTGTAGCAAATACAGAAGTACTGTAACAAGTACAAAAGTTACCGTAGCACATACGGATTTACTGTAGCACCACTTTTTTTGGTGCCCTAGGTCAATAAAAATAGGGGAAATTATATTGGGGTCTAGGGTCTGCTGGGGAAATTATAGTGGAGTCGGTTTGCTGATTTTGGCCAAAGTTCTGCCAAAACAACCTAAATCTTGCTGATTTTAGCAATTTTTATTGATTATTTGCTTAGGGTTTGTGATTTCGGCAAACCCATGGTAGCAAGAGGGGTCATAGAAGGGGGATTTAGGTGGACTCGCTCCATGAACAGAGTGCCATCCAAAACCATACAAGATAGCTTGGTTCAAAACAGGAAATGAGATAACAATTTATAAGCAATGTCTAGTTTCTTTTTCCATTGGAAAGCATTATAAAGATGAAGTGTGGAGCGATGTTGTGCCTATGGATGCGTGTCATTTATTATTGGGTAGACCATGGCAGTATGATAAACGTATCACATTTGATGGATTTAAAAACACTTATTTCTTTGTCAAAGATGGGATAAAAGTGGTTTTAGTCCATCTAAGAAGGAAAGTGCATCCAAATCAAATGAAGGGTGTACTAGCCTTCTTTCTTTGGCTGAGTTCATGGAGGGAGTGGAGGAGTCGAAGATAGTGTTCGCAGTGATCCAAGTGGACGAGCAGCCTATTAGTTCAGTTCCACCACAGTTAGAGCGCTTATTGAGGGACTATAGTGATGTCACTCCAGATAAGCTACCAGAGGGTTTACCACCCATGAGGGACATTCAACTGTGAAAACAAAAAGCAATCCACGAAAACTAGAAAGAAGAAACAAACACAAAAGAAAGAGACAACCAACCACAACGCAATGATATACGTGGTTCGGCAACGTGCCTACGTCCACGAGAGATGAGAACTTCTTTACTGGCAATGGAGAATAAGGTTACAAAAAAGCTCTCTTACTCATGCCTCTCTGATTACATAGCAATCTGCGTTTTTCCCTTAACCTTAGATGAACCCCCATTCGCAACAATATATATCGAGTTTCATATAGATGGTACAAATTACCGAAATACCCTTGTACGGATATATATTAAGTATAAGGTCGACTCATTAACTACTATGGCGACTGTTATTATTGGGTTCGAGTTTATGAAGGATCTTTATGCAGATGATGAAACTTCAAGGAGATATGGGACCAGTGTTGCAGTGGAATTGTTGGGGATTTTCTTATTTAAGATGGATTTCTCTTCAAAGGAAACCGTCTTTGTATTCCCGAAGGTTCCCTTAGACAAATCCTAATAGCAGAGCTTGATGGGGGAGGTCTTGGTGGACATTTGGGTCGAGACAAAACCATAATATTGGTGGAGTCTAAGTACTACTGACCAAAAATGAAGAGAGATGTGTGGTTTGTTGAGAGGTGTTGTACGTATCAATTGGCTAAGGGGCAACGACAGAATACCGGGTTTTATTCTCCACTTTCTATTCCTAATGCAACTTTGGAAGATGTTAGCATGGATTTTGTTTTGGGACTTCCGCGACCTCAAAGAGATATGGATTTTATATTCGTGGTGGTGGATAGATACTCAAAGTTGGCTCATATTATACCTCGCAAGAAGACTTTGGATGCCACACATGTTGCTAACTTGTACTTCAAAGAGGTGGTGATGTTGCATGGTGTTTCAAAGAAGATAATTTCAGATCGTGATGTGAAGTTTCTCAGCCATTTTGGGGGAACTGTGTGGAAGAAATTGGGCACCCTGTTACAATTTAGTAGTGTTTATCATCTGCAAACAGATGGCCAGACTAAGTGGTGAACCATACTCTTGAAAATCTTTTGAGAAGTATTGTGAGGGAAAAGAAGAAACAGTGGGACCCAGCACTGCCTCAAGCCAAGTTGGCCTATAATAGTGTTTGCAATAGATCTACTGGTAATAGTCCTTTTGAAAAAACCCTACTGATCCTCTTGACTTGGTTCCTATCCAGGCTAATGGAGAGGGTCATGCTACTGGTGAGGACTTGGTTAAATGAAAGGAGTGCATGAACAAGTGTGTGCTAGTCTAGAAGCCAATACAGCCAAATACAAGGAAGCAGCGGACAAGTATCACCGTTTCAAGGAGTTTAATGTGGGAGACTAGGTAATGGTGTATCTTAGGAAGGAACGACATCCAGTGGGAAAATACAACAAGCTGAATGATCGCAAGGCAAGACCATTCAAGATTTTGAAGAAGAGGGGCAGCAATGCTTACAAGGTTGCTTTGCCTTCGCACAGTCTTCAACATTGCTGATCTGTCGCAGTATCATGATATGGAGATGCATGAAGATGAAGATGTGAACTCGAGGGTGAGTTCTCCTCAACCTAGGGAGAATGATGGAGATCTAAGTACAACAAGTAGTCACCAGTATCTTCTTTTGGAGCGACATATTCCTCCTAATTTTCACTCATATTTGAAGGATGAAAACCTTAGGAGGGCTTCCAAGAAGAACAAGAAGAGCAAGAAATAGTTTGGGTGTTTTTTTTTAGTTATTTTAGGCTATTTCAGATTTTTTTTATTTTATTTCATTGTTAGACCAGTTAAGGACTTTTTAGATATTTTAATTAAAGTTAAGGAGTTTAGTTTCAAGTTATACTTAAGTTATGACCTTTTGGTCAAAAATTAATTGTAAGGACAAATATTATCCAAAACAATAATTTTCTAATATAAATAAGGGCATGGAAGGGCTGAAGAGTCATTTATGTATTCCTCTTTAAGAAAAGAACTATGTCTTGTAAAAGAACCTAAGGCTTGAGCCCTAAGTGGGAGAAATCCTTAGGGTTTCTCCAAAATTGCTTGTGTCAAGGTGCTTCTTGCGGATTTTTCTATGTTTCTTCGAGTTCTACATCAACCATGAAGCATATGACCCCACTCCTATTAAGCAGCCTAGGATTATTTTTAGTTATCAAAATGGCGTAAGCTCAATAGCATATATAGTCCACAGGAGTTATTCTCCTTTAAGATATCCAAAGAATCTCATTGCTTCATGTAAGGGCTCAAATTCTTCTCATGAAATTCTAACATACTATTGCAACCAGATCAACATGTCCAATCTTAAGCTTTAGATACTTTCAATTGATTAACAGTATTCCAACGATTCTTAGTTTCGTTATTCTATATATGGTGCTACCATTCAATGGCTATCAGTCCTTATCTTACATTTTAAGGGTTTCTTCATAATTGGCAAGACCTCTCTTCCTGATTGATAACAATATCTCAAAGATTCAGAAAGGGTGCACTTTGTAAGGTGTTTCAAAGAGTAAGGCATAATAATTTCTTAAAGAATCAGAAAGGTGCATTTTGTAAGGTGTTTCAGAGAGTAAGGTGTTTTGTGTGAAGTCCCGAATTTTGAGCTGAAAACGTAATTAAATAAGGAGCAGAGCATGAAACACTATAAAACACAAAAAATTCCACAATTTCTGATATGAATTATCATAAATAAATAGACACAGTTTAGCAAACTAATCTTAATTTTGAATAACTATGTGGCTATGTCCAGAAACAATTCAAATGATCAGACAAATTAGAAATCAAATACTAACTTTTGGCACAAAATAGAAAATGCTAACCAGATTCAGAGGTAACACGCTCAGGCATGGAAGAGGTTCTCTAGAGATAAAAAGTGAGAGAAAACACATACACTCGACAAATTATGCGAGCTTCAGTACCCATTTGAGCAATTTCTTTAGTTGAATCTGCAATTCCTCTGACAAAAGCAGTCCAAATTTAGTCTCATAAACCTGCAACTACAACTACAACTCCAGTTATAATTATCTAAAATAACTAATACTCCAGTTAAGAAGGGTTTTATATGGCTGGAACAAAAACTCATCAATCACTAAAACCTTCACTGACTATAGATGCCTTCCCTCTCACTGTAATGGAGATTGTATCATGGGATTTGTTGGGTTCAATGAGAACTGAAGTGCGCCATCCTTATAGAGTTAGAGGAGGGAGATGGAATTATTGCCAAGGTTAACATTTAATATTATTTGTTATTAGTTAAACTTCACAAATAATAGAGTAGGAAGTCTACCCTAGTGAATCCATTCACTTCATTACCATCATCTATCATTCCCCAAGGAGACTTACAAAACAGAGAGCCATCTCACCATCCAATACTCATCGTCTGTTAGTGGGTTACCATTTTCCACCCTCCATTCATACACCATCCATTTCACATAGGCAGCCTCGTGTCTCCTTCCAAGTTTTGTCGCATTCTGATATGTCTAAGGCCATGCAGAGTGATATTCATGTATAGCTCAGTTTGACGATGTATCCGTAAGTCACATCCCCACGAGGTTAAACTCGCAGGCTGATGCACTCGCAAAGATTGGGGGTCAAATTCAATTGTCCTCATCATGGCCAACGCCTGTTTGGGTGGCAGAGTGGAGGCACATTGAACTGAGAACCGAAGTAGATGCAGATGATGAAAGAATCCTCTTTCCCAAGTGCCCGCCTTATCCATTTGGGACACTCCTATCAGCCAAAGAGGTTATCAAAGCTGAACAAGAAATGGCACAAAGTCAAGGAGCTAATATTAAAAAACAGGAACCAAAAGGCCAAACGTTGGCCCCCGACCGGCACGAGACTTCCGAGGCAATCGGAAGCCCTCCAAGCAAATGTGCATGCATACGAGAGGCCCAACAGCCTCACCGGCTAAACAAGCGGCTGCCACATGCGCTCCGTCCCGCTGGGCCAACTAGTCTGATCAGTGACTAGTGCCTTGGACAGTCCAATCCATTAAAAAAAACCAGGTTTGTAAAAGCCAGTCAAACCAATCTTGGACCAGTTTTGACTAGTCCAATCAGCTGGTGTTGACCAGTTAGACTGGCCAAACAAAATTGGGCAGCTCGTTTTGGTAATATATTTAATATTTTAAATTATTATTCATATATTTAAATCCGATTTTACCGATGGTCAAATCGATTTTAACTAGACCAAACCTCTCGCCTGTATGACATAAATAACACTGAGGAAAATCACTTTTACCTTTTAGAAAGAAACGCATGGGTCAAATCACCTTCACAATTGACATAAATACATTATACAAGAATAAAATCAGTTTTACTTTACAAATGACTTGTTATCCAAGGGCTACGCATTATCTCCCGTTGAGTTATTACTTACTTTTCACTTACAAACACGCTCAAAGAAAAAACTAATCACTATAAAAGCTTAAAGCTCATGTGAAAGAGAATATTAAATTTGCAAAACACAAGTTTCCCTCTTGTGATGAGGAGTTGAACTATAGTTATCTACATGCAAAAGAACTTGCTTCAACATATCAACCTATACACAAGCACCATATAAGTTTGCAATTTTTTGGACTGCAAATTCTAAGCATTTATTTATATTGGAGAGATATTTTTCAATTCAGACCCTTACATGCAAGAACACGCAACTATTTCGGGAATATGTCCAACTTATTTTTGACAAGACTTAAATGTGTAGAATAATATTCTAGGTTTTTTATCTTTGAGGTTTAACTCATCATCATCACCATCATAGCCTTTTTGCAATTAATTGGGATCAGCTACACGAATCCTGACCCGACATTCTACTCTATTATTTGTGAAGTTTAATTAATAACAAATAATATCAACCCATACACAAGCACCATATAAGTTTACGAATTTTTGGACTGCAAATTCTAAGCATTTATTTATATTGGAGAGATATTTTTCAATTCAGACCCTTACATGCAATAACAAGCAACTGTTTCGGGAATACGTCCAACTTATTTTTGACAAGACTTAAACGTGTAGAATAATATTTTAGGTTTTTTATCTTTAAAGTTTAACTCATCAGCATCACCATCACCATCATAGCTTTTTCGCAATTAATTGGGATCGGCTACACGAATCCTGGCCCGACATTCTACTCTATTATTTGTGAAGTTTAACTAATAACAAATAATATTAAATGTTAACCTTGGCAATAATTCCATCTCCCTCCTCTAACTCTATAAGGATGGCCCACTTCAGTTCTCATTGAACCCAACAAATCCCAAGATACAATCTCCATTATAGTGAGGAAAATTGAACTATGAGTGCACGTAAAACAATCCGGTGAGCAATTTATATCTCTATAAGCAAACAAAATGTTCACTTATAGATTTTACAGGACAATTCATTTTCATACTTATCTAGGACCAATCAAGCAAGCGAGAGTGAATTAGTGGAAGACAAAAAGAGAAAAAAAACATTCATCCACATAGGTTCAGATAAAATAAGAGGGAGTAGAGAGAGAAGAACACACTAAAACATGCTCTGCAAATTAAAAATCACAAAACTAAAATGGATTTCACAAATCTCAATCCATTAACTACATTATATAGGAGTTATTGATGTAGGAAAAGAAAAACAAAATAAAATTAAAAAGGGTTGAAAGATTATACCCTCTCCCTGGTCTGCAAGGGAGTCCACCCCAAAGATCTTTTCATAAGACCCAAATTCTTCACTCAATTCACCACTAACCTCTATCTACAAAAAAGGAACATCTTCCCTATAAAGACAAACTTATAAAGAATAATAAATAAAAATAACAAACTGAACTCTCTCTCCTAATCTCTTAAAAACAAGTCTAACAGATCAGAACCAACCCAATCGTGCTAATCCCTATCATTGTTAGAAAAACAGGTCGGTTAGAATCGGAACAGGTCGGTTAGCTCGGAACCGCTAGGGTTCCAAGTATGGTTAGGGGCGGTTTTGGAGATCTCCTAGCCTAGAGTACAACCCCATAATATTTCAGTCCCAAAGCCGGCCAGTTTTTATGCTAATTGGACCGGTTAGCGTATATAACGGGTTTTATGAACAAATAACGATACAGTTAAAATAACGCCCGTTATTTTCAATTGAAGCCGTTATTTGATGCAGAAATTCACAGGTTGATTTTTTCAAACTTTTTTTATTCTTTTTTTTGCCATTTTTTGGCATTGTTCATGCTTTATAGCTGTAAAACACTATTTGTTCTCTATAAAACAAGAAAATTCGAATCCAAGATTGAAAAATCAAGAGATTTTGTGGATTGAAATGACGGATTTTCACGCCTTTTGAAATTTCTGCCATTTCATCAATACCATCTTCAATAGTCAATGGTTTTGCTGAAATTTGAGGGTTTTTAATCCTAATCGAATCATCTACCAACTACCTCTTTCAATTTGTTCAAAAAACAAAATATTGGGGGTTGATTTTGGCCTGAAAAGCTGCTGCCCAAAGAACATTTGTTCGATGCAAAAAAACAGATTTTGGATTGATTTTTTGGTCGTTTCTTATCAAATTGATTTGTGCATTGTGATCGTCAAGGCTTCATCTGTCACATAAAATAGGTATGCCTATTTATTATTGAGTAAATTACAAACAATTGCATAAAACAAATTTCAATAAAAGAAGCCATAGATTAGAGATAAAAGGAAAATCAGCATGGGATAGAAGATAGGATACCTTATTTGATCGCTTAGTATAGCCATTCATAGGCCTTTACATGGGTTATATTTTCTTTTCACTTCCTACTTTACCATTCAAGAACATGTACCTATACTGAACCTGGGTGTGTTTTTCATACGGCAGCCACTTTTTACAAAATATTGTAGGGCCGCACCTCAAAATCCCACCACAAAATGAAGTTCCAATGCAGAAAATTGTGGATCAACGAGGACTTGAAATAAATAGTCTCAAGAAAGTATTGTACGAAGTATCAATTTAAAAGCTCTAAATCTTGTTGTTTTTTTTTCTTTTTTTTTTTTTTTGGTTTCAGTTAATTTCTTCTCCTTTTTTCTAACATGAAAAATGCTTTTTCTAGTGAGATTCGTCGTGCAGCTTTATAAAGCCGCAGCTTTATGAAATACTTTTCCACTAGAAGTACCCTCTTAATTTTAAGGCAATGACCAAAATTCTAAATGTGAGGGAATAATTATGTAGCCAACTAAAATTAGTTACTAATCAAATAATTTCATTATTTTGTAAGCCATATTAAAAGAAAAATGATTGGTTATGTTTAAAAGAGATTTCGGGGAAGTTTTCAAACATATTGCAAGTAAAAAATATTAAAAGAAAATGGATGGATATTTTTAGAAAAGATATGTTAAGGTACTAAGTCTGTGTTGCGCATGGCCAGCCTACCTAAATCTACTTTCTATCATCTTATCACCTATTGGAGGCACACCTAAGTTCTCTCGAATGTATATATTTCGATTCTATCCCTTCTTGCCTTGCCACTCATCCATCTCAACATCTTCATCTCAACTACACCCATCTTATGAGTATCTTGTTTCTTGACTACCTACATTTTACCCCATAATGCAAAGCTGGTTTCACTGTTGTCCTATAAAACTTCCCTTTCAGCTTCATTGGTATGCGGCAATCGCATAAAACTCTAGTTACACATCTCCGTCTCGCCCGCCCAACTCTAATTCTATGTGCGATATATTCCTCAATCTTTCCATTTTCCTGAATTATCGACCCAAGATATCGAAAGTGCACGTTTTTGGTATTTCTTGGCCGTCAATCTAAACCACTTCCTTTTCTCTACTCTTATTATTACTAAACTTGCATTCTATATACTTTGTCTTACTCCGGCTAATTTAAAACCTTTTGATTCTAGAGCATCCCTTCAAAGTTCTTTATGTTGACACCAGTTTGGGTCTTATTGATCAAAATTATGTTGTCCACGATTAACATACACCACGGTACCTCATCTTGTAGGTGCCTAGTTAAGTCGTCCATAACTAAGACAAATAAGTATGGGCTCAATGTTGACACCTGATGTAGACCTATTGTCACTGAAAACTCACTCGTCTCTCCATCAGTTATTCGCACATGAGTTACTGCTCTCACGTACATATCTCACCAAATCGATATACTATATGGATATTTATTGTTTTTTCAACGCCCACCAAATTAAATCTCGAGGTACTCTATTATAAGCGTCCTCTAAATTAATAAAAACCATGTGGAGGTCCTTTCCTCTCACCCTAAACTTCTCAATCAGTTGCATAAGTAGGAAATAACCTCAATTGTTGACCTCCTTAATATAAAACCAATTTGATTTTCTAATACACTCGTTTCATGCCTTAGTCGTTGCTCAATCACTCTCTCCCACAGCTTCATAGAATGGCTTATAACTTTGATCCCTCGACAATTTGCACAATTTTGTATATCTCATTTGTTCTTGCAAATAGGTACCACCGTACTTTTCCTCCATTCTTATGGTATTTCTTTGTTCTCAACGCCTTGTTGAATAGCTTTGTCAGCCAGTCAATGTCGATCTCCCCCCTGCACTTCCAAACTTCTATCAGGATACCATCTAGTCCTAAAGCATTTCCTATCTTCATCCTCTTCAAAGCTCTTTTCACTACTGGTATCCTAATTCTACGAATGTATCTATGACCTCCGCCCTCATTTATGCTAATGGTTTCTTCAACTGCTAACAAATTATTCTACATATTTATTCCTTATAACTATTCTTTCGTTGATTCATGCAAGGTGCCTATCGCAATCTAATTACTAGTGGGAAACATCACTCCAATGCTTGTCAGCTCTCTCTTCTCACTAATCAGATTTAATAAATAATTGTGGCTCGTAAAAGGCAAGAGATTTTAGAGCAGCACTTTGGTTCATGACAGATAAGAGCGTTCAAAATAGCACTTTGTTCGGTGCTCCTTGTGTTTCATGGATGGTAGTTTAATAAGTTGGACGATTGAGCTACATAACACTGCAATAAGTAAGATGAATGAGCTACAAAGCATTGCTCAATGAGCATGAGATGATGAGATTGAGAATATTGCAGAAGACTTACATAAGAAGCCTGATTTATGTTCAATGAAACCAAACAACGTGACGTGTTCGCTACAAATTATGTCATAGATAGGTGGCTTAACCAGAATTCTATTAGGTAAAATCACAGAGCATGTGTAGACTTTGGGAAAAAATTTAATAAAGGAGTATTCTCCTTGTATTTCTTACATACTTGCAAGTATGTCAAATATAATCATTGATTACGTATCCGAAAGTATTGTTAGTAAAACATTCTCGAATGGGAATTGTAATTTAGTTTCTACATAACACCCTAGAACCCAAAGTTTCATCGTACAAAAAGGAAAACAAAGAGACAGGTTCTCCAAGGCTTGCATAGTTGAGACCCAATTTCTCCCCCGAATGTCAGAACTTGGAAGTTACTCTAATGAAGAAATATATGTGATTTGCTTCTCCCTTGTAAAAGAAAACCCAAAATTAATCGAAAAAGAATCGATGACATATTCTTAATGTGTCTTAGATAAACCATAAAAAATGGAAAGCAGACTCTCAAAATAACTTCAAAATAAATGAGCACACATCCGCTTTTTCTTAATCAGAGCAAATATAAATTGAAAGAGATAGGGTAGAAAGAAAAAAAGCAGCTTACCGTACAAAGAATGAGACTCCTTTGATACATCAACTAGGTCATCTTTCCATTGGATCACAGGCAAAATCGCCTTACAGTGAGTAAATAGACTGGAAACTGCTGAAACCTGAAAAAGAGAAACAAAAACAGGGAGATTAGTTTAGGAGAGATGGAAACAATGAAATGAGTATGGGACTAAGCTTTTTCCCTAGTGAGAGAAAGAGGAACAGAAGAAGAAAGGAAAACAAGGGGTTTAAGGTTCAACGTCAGATTTTATAGATGAAGCACTGGTGTCAAACGCCACATTTGGAGTTTAGAGAGAGAGAGAGAGACTTGAGTTCTGCAACTCTTTCACAGGTTTGCTTCTCTCACGGCCTCACGGGTTTGCTTTCAAAATTCATGGAGCCATTGCTAACCACACACCTGAGACTGCAATTGCATATCCAAGTTCCAAACTCGTGACTCTCAACCCATTCCTCTACCTGACAGACTGACCTACTGCCGCCACCGCAAGAATCTATATTTGTAAATCCATGTCTAAGACTGATACCAGTTCCTCAACGAGCAGAACTTTAAAACACAGTGATTTTCGATCTAGATTGTCGGTCTGGATGGGAATCGGGCAGGGCCGAACAGGTTATGAGATTGCATAGGGCTAGCCCGGTTATCCCTAAATCCCCCTTTTATCTATTATTCATATATTTATTATCGTCTAATGTTTTTCTAGATCCTTTTAAATCACCACCTTATAAACCCTAGTTATTTTTTATGTATTTCTAATATTTGTTAGAACACTGATCCTGACGTGATCCGAGGCTTAAAACCCTACCATGTATAATCGCGATTGTTTTTCTCGAAACTGCATAGGAGCCCAAGTTTTGGAAGCATGTCTTTCTCTCTCGCGTCAGTCATCAGCAAATTACAATCGACAAAGTTTCCATGTCATCGAGGTTCATGACACCGAACTCAGGTCTCTCTCTCTAAACTCCAAAATCCGGTGTTGAACCAGTGCTTCATCTCTAAAATCCGGTGTTGAACCGTAAACCCCTTGTTTTCCTTTCTTCTTTTGTTCCTCTTTCTCTCACTAGGGAAAAAGCTCAGTCCCACACCCATTTCATTGTTTTCATCTCTCCTAAACTAATCTCCCCGTTTTTGTTTCTCTTTTTCAGGTTTCAGCAGTTTCCAATCTATTTACTCACTATAAGGCTTAAATTTTGTATGTGATCTAATGGAAAGATGACCTAGTTGATGTATCAAAGGAGTCTCATTCTTTGTACGATAAGCTGCTTTTTTCCTTTCGCCCTATCTTTTTCAATTCATATTTGCTCTGATTAAGAAAAAGCGGAGGTGTGCTCATTTATTTTGAAGTTATTTTGAGATTCTGCTTTCCATTTTTTATGGTTTATCTAAGCCACATTAAGAATAAGTCATCGATTCTTGTTCAATTAACGTTGGGTTTTCTTTTACAAGGGAGAAGCAGATCATATATATTTTTTCATTGGAGAAACTTCCAAGTTCTGACATTCAGGGGAGAAATTGAGTATTTGTGTTTGTTGGGTCTCAACTATCCAAGCGTTGGAGAACCTGCCTCTTTGTTTTCTTTTCTGTGTGATGAAACTTTGGGTTCTAGAGTGTTATGTAGAAACTAAATTACAATTCCCATTCGAGAATGTTTTACTAACAATATTGTCGGATACGTAATCAATGATTATATTTGACATACCTACAAGTATGTATGAAATACCAGGAGAATACTCCCTTCTTAGTTCCCCACCCCCCCCCAATCAGCACATGCCCTGTGATTTTACCTAATAGAATTCTAGTTAAGCCACCTATCTGTGACATACTTTGTGGCAAACGAGTCACGTTGTTTGGTTTCATTGAACATGAATCAGGCTTCTTATGTAAGTCTCTTGCAATATTCTAAATCTCATCATCTCATGCTCATTAAGCAATGCTTTGTAGCTCATTCATCCTATTTATTGCAGTGCTATGTAGCTCAATCGTCCAACTTATTTTACTACCATCCATGAAACACAAGGAGCACCGAACAAAGTGCTATTTTGAAAACTCTTATCTGTCATGAACCAAAGTGCTACTCTGAAATCTTTTGCTTTTTACGAACCAAAACCGTTTATTAAATCTGGTTAGTAAGAAGAGAGAGCTGACCAGCATTGGAGTGAAGTTTTCCTCCTACGATTGGGATTCTCTATAGCCTACCACAATAGGCTATTGGTTAACATGCCGCAGATTTCAATATGGGGCTTGTGAACCTTCACAAGGAGAAAGAGAAGGAGCAATAGAAGTAGATTGATCATCCATTCTCTTTGCATGGGAAGCACATTAATAATGGAGGTCCCTCTTTCTTTCTCTCTCATGGTGGTGAAGTGATATACGAATGGATGTCAAAGCAAATATATATATTTAATGACTGATAAACCAACAAAAACCATGTCCATAACATGTCTATACAACATCATTATACGCCAAAAAAATACATGTCCATATAAAAACGTCCACAAAAACATGTAAAAAAAAAAAACACCACAAGAAACCCAAATCCTGGACAAGATATGTCCATGTTAAAGACAATTTGCAGGTCACATCTCTCTTAGCATATCGTCCAGCCAGTCCCTACGAAATTCCTCAGGAATAGCTAAAAACATGGTTGCTACATCATGATTCAAGAATAACTTTGAGGCCTTAAAAATAACTTCTCTAGTTACGTCTTCTTTATATAATTCCCTACAATGCATTTGGAATCAATGGTTTGATAGAGGGTAGAGGCAAAGTCAGAGGCTAAAGGAGGGACAGGGGCAGGGGCAGAGGTGGCCACCTTTTCCACTGCAGCAACTACTCGAGTTATAGCATCATATGAATCATCATCCTTGGAAACTTGCAGCCTACAAGATGCCTGTGAACCCATAGAACTTATGCGCCTCTTTTTAGGAGGTGGGATCTTGGTACTTTTGCTCGAAGTAGAAGATGCAGACACCTCCTGCACATTTTCCACTGGGTTCGTATTTATATCACCAAATAAGCCACCTGTGCTACTCATCACTTCATTTCGAGTTTCATCTCTAGGAATATCTTGAGCAGTGCCACTGCCTTGGCCATCTGCAGTCGACTCACTAACCAGTAGAACCTCTTCTAAATTTTGATGCCCGAGTATTTTTCCACACATAATGTGTCAACATTTGTCACATAAAGTTTAAAATAGGTAGACATATGGAAACGTGACACATTTATAAGTAAATAAGTGTGGGACTCGCCACAAGGAAAGTGTCCCAAACATCTTCGTTCGCTGTCACCATCTTTTTAGCATAGTCCCACCTGAAGCCCAATTTGCCGATCAATTGTTTCACATTGTTGTAGTCGCCTTTTAAGGTTCTTAATCTATTTCTTAATTTCTCCTTTTCAACATCTTCACCACATTTGGCTTTCATTGCCTTTACCATGTTTCTCCAAGCTATTGTGCTGAAAGTACCTCCCACCTTTCGCTTTGCCTTGACCTCCTCGACCATGAGGTCAAGGAAATAGTCATCTTGACTTAGAGTCCATATAAAATTTTTTCTTTTCTTGACAATTTTTTTCTTAGAATTTGCTTATTGGGAGTCCATATCTAACTATACAATAATGTTGCTCAAAGCTCAAAGATTTATCCTAATAGGATTCCAAGCAATAATGTTGCACAAAGATATGTTCTAATACATTGGTCATATAAAGCTCATAGAATTCATGAGGAAGGTATGCAAAGCTCATAAAATTCTAAAGTGAACACTAATTTGGTCATACAATGCTCATAGAATTTCTGAAGTGAACACTGAAACTATGTAGCAGACACCATGAAAAAAGAAAGAATCGTAACAAACTCATTCTTCATAAACTGAATGCAACATAAGCATGTCAACCTTTTTTTAGATGTTACAAATTTCCAAAAGCTCATCCTTTTTTTTTTTTCAGCAAAGAAATCAACTTTGGGAGGTTTCACAGAAAATGAGACAATAGTTCTATGCCACTGTTTGGGTCAAGTATAAGAGAATCTCCTTGTGAATAGTGAGATGCCCTAGGCTATCTATAGCATCATTTAACAACATGAACATATGTTTGGCTTCTCCACACCTCACTAATGTGATTAAATCAACAACCAAAACCATTTTCTATTGAGTGGAAGAATACCACAAATCATAGACACGGTTAAGCAAATTGTCATAGTCAAGCTTCAGCAAATACAAAACCAAAATGCAACAGAATTCAGTGACTGTGAGTGTAGAAATTTTAACAATGGAATAAAACAACAGCCAAAGAGAGAAATGCAACGAACACATCTTTGTTATACAATATAGTTTGCGAGAGAGAGAGAGAGAGAGCATTCCATACACTTCAATTTGTCAACAGAGCAAATTTCCAAAACACACCGCATACTGTTAGAATCATGTTCAACTCTCAAACAAGTAAAAGTGGGATATTCCAAACCTCATTTCTGTGACAGTAAGCACCCTATCTTTTGACAGAGACGCAGAAATGGTGGACTTAGAGAGAGAGAGGGGGGGAGGGAAGAAATACATGAGTCACAGGAGGGAAGAGAAATTCGTGAGAATAAATGAAATAAATCACATTATCTTCTTCCCTTGTTTACGAAAATAAATGGAACAAGAAACCAGAAAATAGAATAAAATCCAAGAGATTTACAATAGATAAATATTGGGAAAGGCCTAAATTTTTTTACAACAGATTTAAAATAGATAAATATAAAGAAAGCCCTAAAACTTTTACAGGGTTTCCTAACAGAAAAACCCTTAAGGGGATCCAAAAACCTAAAATTAGTAAGAAAACAAATAAAAAATAAGAAATCTACATAAAACTCACTGATTAAGAGGTTGCTGCTATTGCCTCCACGGGTTCCTCTAGTTCTTGCTCGCAAAGGATGAGAGATCTCCCTAAGGTTAGTTAGAGAGAAACGAGGGTCTGCAGAGGCATAGGTGGTTAGAGAGAGAGAGAGAGAAGGGCCGTTGGGTGCAGAGCTTCTGTGAGACAGAGAGAGAACAGTTGGTTTCGTAGAGAGTTGGGTTTGAGTACGAGACGAGTGTTTTAAAACATGGTTAGCGAGTCGGGGAATAATTAAATATCTGCATACCAAGGCAACAAATCGAATTTTTAGAGGAAAACATATCCTAGATCTATTTCGAACACAAAATGAAACAACAACAATATTAAACACAACAACAACTAATTAGTAAATAACAAGAATTGTGAACTGAAGTGTTAGATTATTTCTCAAATAAAAAAACTAAAAATATCTTCAATATAAGATTGCAGCTAATTAGAAAAAAAACAAAACGTAAAAACTCAAATATGTAAAATAGTAATCCATCTAAAATACTATGTATATCAATAAAAATACAAAAATAGAAAATAAAGTATGAAATTAATCAAACATCTTTATGCATTTTTAAAAGAAACAAAATGCCCAATAAAATTTGAATATTGCATTGAATAGCTACCTAAATCTTTAGCATCATTAAATCTCTCTGGCTCTTTACAAGGACGTTATGGGTTTAAAGAAAAATAAATAAAAATAGATTTTTCATTAGGTTGCTCTTCTTCTAATTTTGCTATTATTTTAAGAATTGTTTTAATTATTTTTTTCTTATAAATATATTGTTTGTATTTTTTGTACACTTTTTTTTAAGATAGCTCACTGGTGAAATTTTTTGTTAAATCAAAAATCGTAACTTACTCCCATTGTTAATGTATTTATCTTTAAATCAAATTTAATAATATTAAGTTAACGAAGAAATAAAGTTATAGGGAATAATTTTTTTGAAAAGCTTTATTGAATACAGATTTAAAGCGGTTCCATTAAAAATTCATGATTTTTTTAAGATCTTTTTAAAAAATCGGAGTTTTAAACATATTTCAAAAAATCGAATATTTTTTGAAAATATTGTGTTTTAAAAGTGGATTGAGTAAAATTTCAGGTCCGATGAGTTTTACTGGAGCATGGAAAATTTTTCCACAATGTAAGAAGTGTGGTTTTATCTTACCATAAATTGACCCTTTTGTGTTAAATATTTTAGGGAAACTATCGCTAATCTACCTAAATTTTAATAAAATCACAAAAAAAAACCCAACTTCCTAAAACCTCGCCCACACTTTTTCCTAATTTTTGTCTTTTTTTTGACAAAATTACATTTTACGGTAGTCTTTTTACTGTAATACATTTTGATCTTTACCATAATAGTATGAAGTTATACTACGGTATTAAAAATACCGTAATTATTTGAATTATTACGATAATTAAATTATTACGATAGTGATGTGTTTACCGTATTTTTATTACCATAATATATTGAAAAGCTTTACATCGAAACTAATATCAAGATTATTCCTCTCCTCGCGGTGAACTTTTTGATTGCATCACTAGAATTTCTATTGTTTTTTTTCTCTCTTCTCATCTTTTTCTGATGCTTGCCCATCAAATACCACAGCAAACACTCTGGTACCAAATCCATAGAGAGAGAAAGAATGTCAAATAGAGAGAGAAAGAGGGAGAAATTGTCTGCCAATGGGTCCTAATGCTACTGTAAACTGGTAATTGCTGCAACACAACACTTTGCAATACATGTGAAATCAATACATGGGTTGGGACGAGTGAGAAAAATGAAATCAATGAATAAACGGCTACAATCACTGTTAATGGCAACACAACACTTCGCATGATATTTGTGCCGTGAATATGAAGAATTGATAACTGCACAAGTTACACCTATCTACATTGCAAGGGTAGAGAAAAAGTGCTAAAGGCACAAAGATGGGAGTGGACTCCAAACATTGCATCAAAAGCTTGGCAGGTTCTTACTGCTCTCTTGCCCTGCAATTTTTGCTCAAACTGATATCAAATATTAGAAACAAGAGATAGATGATTGGCCAATCGTTAGATTCTATTCAATCCATTGAGATGTAAAGAGTGCTACATTTAAATATTAGAGGACTTTGCTCTCGAGATTATCGTATCACAATATAAGCCAAAAAGCTCACAGGGAGGATGGAGGTAATCTTGATATTAGCTTCGGTTTAAAGCTTTTCAACGACAACAAAAATATCGTAAGGATTTCACCACACACTACAATAATTAAATTACCGTAATAATTTAAACAACTACGATATTATGAATACTGTAAAAAGAAGATTAGTAAATACCGTAATATAACTTCATACTATTACAATATTTTATATACCATAATACTATCTCAATGTGTAACGGTATTTAAATTACTGTAAATATCAAAATGTATTACTGTAGAAAAACTACCGTAAAGGGTATTTTCATCTAAAAAAAGACAAAAATCATAAAAAAGGGTGTGGGCGAGGTTTTGGGATATTGGTTTTTTTTTTTACGATTTTATTAAAATTTATGTTAGCGATAATTTCCCAATATTTTATTATGGTAAAATATTTACATTTGGAACGAACCAAACGTGTGAAACAAAAATTATATATGTAAACATTTCCCAAGGGAATATTTACACGCGAACCAAACGTATCCTTAGGGGCCGTTTGGGTATCCGAAATCCATTACAAGGAAATGGATTTACGTGAAATCATTTGTTTTCATTGTTTGGGTGCGCAACAACACAAGTGTGGAATGGTAATAGGCTACCGTAAAGGGCCCAAAATCGTATAATGGATTTTCCCTGCGAAATCGGTTACAAAGATAACGGGTAATCAATTTCCCGTCAGATGCGATAAAGTTGGGCACTCTCTTTCCACCATGGACAATGTAACCATCCTAAACTTAAAAAAAAGAGTAAAAATAAATAATACTTCTACCTTTGATGGTCCATACAAATAATTTGGTCTTTAGGGACCATCAAAGTTTTTTTTTTTTTTAGCTCATTTTTACCTACACCTTTTTGGTTTTTTGCGCAATCTCCTTTAGGGACGTAGGCTTTAAGTGGTAATGTAACACCTTCTAAATACCTCATGTATGAGGCGGTTTAATAATATATTATAATAATATTTCTTTTTGTATTTAAAAAAAAAAGAACGAGTTGGATTATTTCTCTGCAAAAATACTCTCTTATGCCCTTCCCTCTCAAGGACGTTGAGTCCTCTTTGTGAATTAAAAAACGTAGTGAACTCCTTCTCTCTAGCCGAATTTTACAGAAAGTTCCCTCTCAAATATTATAGGATCTCATTATCCTGAAAAATAGTCCGTTTACCATTTTTATACTGTAATTTTATGCGCATATAAAATCATTTTTTTTCTGTCAAAATTATTATTATTAGAAATTTAGACATTGTAAATTATTAAAAATAAAATTTTTGCTTATTATTATGACTTTTAGACACTGGAAAATTTATGTATAAGTGATGTCATTTATGGTAAAATCATTATGTGAAAAATTGATATTTCTGTAATTAATTATAATACTACCAATACTGTGAGATTTACGCATTTCTGCATTTAATTGTATTTTTGTTTGTCTATGAATTTTAGATACTATAAGTTTTACCTATTCATTTAAAGTAATTAATTATGGAATTACATTCCATAAAATTGTGATATTTATGTGTTTAACCTTGGATTTTATAAAAGCTCTTAAATTGATAATCGACTGCCTATTGGATTCCATTTCAAAAATACCTGTTCGATCTGATACCTTTCTGCAATTTTTATCCAAATTGTTTGATTGGTTACTTACAAATATTTCAATGAAAGTAATTGTTTAAATTGCTTCAAGTGAATTACTGTTAATGATTTCAATGGTACTTTGAATATGCGATGTTGATGCTTTTCTGATGTTAAAGAGTTTATGAGATAATTTAAGTCTATGTGGACCTATCCGGGATGCCGATAGGGACTATTTGGATTCATCCGGTACGCCGGTAAGATACGTTTGGACCTGCAGAGATTGTTTCGACCTATCTGGTTATGCCGCTAGGGACTATTTAGACTCATCGCGACGCTGGTGAGGTATGTTTGGACCTGCAGGAATTATTTGGACTTATCTGGTTACGCTGGTAGTGACTATTTGGACTCATCCGGGACGCCGGTGAGGTATGTTTGAACCTACAGGGATTATTTGGACCCATCCAGGATACTGGTGGGGTATATAGGTGACCTACTTGAGACGTCAGTAGGGTATTTTGTGAAATCCTTGAGTTATGGATTGTTGTTAAAATATTTACATACATTTCAATCATTTGGATTATGTCTAATTGTGCATTTCTGAAAGTGAAATTGTTATTCATAAATGTTTTTTGGCTCGCATTGTTTGTAATAGATCTCCCTTTTTGAAAATGCTTACATCTTTCGACTATGATTATTTTTTAGGACTATGATGATCACTTACTGAGTAGCCAAACTCATCAAACTATGGTAACAAATTTTCAGGGTAATTGCAGCCTCCCTAGTTGAAGGTACAACATGAACAACTTTGGAAGAAGTCATAGTTATGATGAAATTTTATCTTTGTGACTTTTGTTCAAATTCACTATTGTAAATTTTGTTATATCAACAGATGTATATCTAAACCTTCATGTTAATACTAGTTTACGAGTAGACTTTGTCCAGACTATTAGAAATGGAAAAATATGTTTTAGTGCAATAAAGGGTGAAGTAGAAAAATTTCATTTTGTTAAATATAGACTGTTACATCTCAGGGATTTCAATGTTATAAATCTTGAGGTGTGACAGACAATCACGACATCTATTGTGTGATTCATTTGTGGAATTTATGTCCATGTTAGGATTATGCGTGTTATTGCAAAATCTTGTTATTTATTTTGCAGGCCAATATCAAATGTATTCGCTATGGCCTCACATTAGTATGACAATGATACCATCGCTTTTCACATATTAGTAAGAAGTGATGAGGACAATATTATCTCTTTGAAAAATGGTGAAGCTATTCACTTATTAATAAAATAATTAAAGGGAGAAGGGATAAAATTAATTGTTGTTTCATTCACATGTTACAAAAAAAAAAAATAGTTTTAATTGATGTTTTATCTTTAAAAAGGGAAAAAAAACTTATATACAACAAAAAACATATTGCTATAGATAAAAATAGTGCAGTATTTCCTAGCCAAAATATTGATAATGTATTTACTAGCCAAAAGTTTACTGGCCAGACTCAAACTCAGACTCGACTCGACTGGATCAGATATTCCAAACAAGCCTCATTTGATAAAGGAACCCTAGAATCACTACAATCCTCTATATTTTAAGTTTTTCTACAGAATCCTACTCGAGGATATTCCCGGCTTCCGATTTTCCGGTAAGTGAGCCACGAGTTAATTTGCAGGAGGAAGTAAATGAATTGTTTGCTCTCGCCGGAGCACAGTCCAGGTGTTCTCAAATTTGAGAAAAGTGCCCTCACACTCACGTTTCCCGCGAGCCGAATTCGCGTTCCCGCCATAAACAAAGCTTAAAAGGGCGCGTTGTCCTACATTAATTCATAATATCTTGCGAAACGAGAGAGAGAGAGGGAGATGGGGGTTTTATCTTCATCTCAGTGGAGAGAGAGATGGGAGCTTTATCTTGATTTACAGCAGAGAGAGAGAGAGGGAGTGTGCGAGAGAGAATGGAGAGCTTTAAATTGATATCAATGGCGCCCGCGTGTGTGTGTGAGAGAGAGATTTGATATCAATGGTGGATGATCCTCCTCATAAAGTGCTCCCGTATACTCGCAAAGAGAGTTGCAGCTGAATAGCTCTGTTTCCTTATCTCTCAGATGGCAATCCTAGGCTCAATGGTTTCCATCAAGCCCGGTAATGAAGCAGCAACCAAGCATCACTCTTCATCTATATATACTGTCCCGTAAATTTTGATTCCTCAGCTTTCGCTGACTATGATAAAAGGAGCTAGCACGGTGGATCATGATTATTTTATGCAGTCATGCTTGCGTTGATTCTGATATGGAACCCGGTGTACACTTTTGAATTTACAGTTAACTCATAGCATCTTTATAGGGAATTTGAAGTGATGGTCAATTTATTAGCAGGATTGTGAAATTGGAGGGTTATGGGAACTACTGGTTGTTAAATTTGTCGTTTATTTCGTGTTTTCTATAAAAGCTACTGGTTCAATTTATGTGAACCTGGGGTTAATTATGTGTTTTATCTGGCTATTGATTTATGAGCAGGGTTGAGATGTTGGAAGTTCACGAAGCTGTTAGTATCCATGAATTTCAACCATGCACGTCAAATTATTTTAAACTTGGTCCGGGTACTCAGTAGCCTTCTTCTATTGACACCCCCCCTCGCCCTTTTTGTTTGAAATCCGTTGTTATTCCCACTGAATTTTATCCAGTTTATATGAATCTCTGTTATAGTTTTGTTGAAATCTAATAATGGGTGGTTGTTCTCTTCATTCTGGAAAAGTAATTGAGCATTTTTTTAGTAGATTTCTCAAACTTTGGGCATTTAGGCATGCGGACTGCAACTGATTTCAAGATTTATTTTCATTTGATAACACACTGGACTTGAATAATTTCCACTCAGATTGCTTTGTGGCATATTTTAACATGTAGTACAGTGCAAGTCCACTCAGATTGCTTTGAAATGGGCTTTGTTATTACTGAGTAAATGTTACAGATTAATGCTTCACAGATAAAGGTTAATCTACACTATTGAACTATCATTTTATTTTTGGCCAGATTAGAATTACTGAAATGTTTTGACTGCCTGATTTATCCCGTCAACTCTTACTACCATGGCAAATCAGATAATATTGTCTGCTTGAAAACTAATTGGAACTATAACATGATTAATTGATTTTATTTTTGCTTTTGTTGTTATCATTGTTACTCATCCAACAATATTTTCTAAAATGCCTCTGATTATCTTGGAATTGTCCAAACACAATCTCGATGTCCATGATCCTTCTCATGCCATATAATTGAACCAGAACACCTAATAAAGACAGTCTATTTGCTTGGATAACACCACTCAATTTCCATGATCCCATGAATTCAAATGTGATTGCCACTTGTGACATGACTCCTATCATCTCCCTCTATCTATATTTTTCCGAACATTGGGTATATTCCTGTCTGCAATATAATTCATTTTTTGGTTTTCAAAGTGTTCATGCAGTACCTTACTCAACTGAATCATTAAAAAAATTCAAGCTAGTTCACTGATCTGATATCTATATTCTACTTCCAACTCTTTGTCAACATTATCTGATCTTTATTTCATGCCAGTATTTGAAAAAGCTATGACAAGAATGACATAGTTGACATTGGGATAAGAAGTCCACAGAAAGTGATTGGTTCTGTATGGATGATGACCTTACTTCTTTTGTAAGCTTCTTTATTTTTTTCTCCTTTTGGAAATAATATTTCTTTTTGTGCATTAAGATTTTCGTCCTACCTTTGAGTTGTTGCCCTTTGTTGCATTTGCATTTGTGATGCACAAGAGTTTTTAAATACTTTTGCTGTATTTTCTTAGAGTTCTTGGGAGGACAGCAGAGAAGGTCATGAATCCTCATCAATGGCCTAACATAATTTTGGGGATCATATGGCATATTTTCCTTCCAATCAGAAGCTATACTGTGCTTTATTTTTCTGCATACAATTATATGGTAATGGATCTATTTTTCTACATACAATTATATGGTAATGGATTGGAACATTTATTATATCTTGTCAAGATTAAAGCTATTTTCTTACCTAGTGTTAAAAAAATCGACTCGGCTAAAGTACTCGGGACCTGGCCGAGGCGAGTTACTCGGGCGAGTCTGAATAACTCGCCCGAGTGCTACTCTTTTTTTTTAAAGAAAATGAAACAAAAATGAAAATAAGCGGGCGGCTTATTTTTTTTGAATAGACGTTGAACACCAAAGAAATGATGTGGTAAAAAAAGTCATGGGCGGGATTCAAACCCCTGATTGGGGTAAAATTTACTCATTAGTACTAACTGGTAAATGAATCTTACATATCTGATATGAATATACAGTAGTATTATACTTAAAGTTTAGAAACATTGTGTACAACTAACTCGCCCAAAACTCGCCTCACTCATGTCTCTTGGCCAAGTTGCCTTGGCCGAGTTTTAGAACGCTGTTCTTACCTAAGCAATTATTAGGTCCAGATATGACCCAGCAAATTTTAGCATCAAGAGAACATTCCTTGTCTCAGTTTTTATTTAATTCTCTTGTGAAGCTACTTTTGGCTTCATCATTCCATTGAGGAAAACAAATAGTAGTTTTTTTGAGCTTGTCATTCTTCTCCACTTGGGAAGCAGGGGCATTATTGTGAAAATGATTGATAAACAATAGTTGTTTTCTGATTCTCCTTCATATTTGTTTATTTATTATTTAATGGTTATGTATTTACAAGTTCAATGCTTATTTCTCATCTATGCCTGTTTGTTTGAAGGATTGCACATGCATATCTCTTACATACCTGCCAACCAATATATCCTGTACTTATACATATGTACTATATTTACTTGCAGTTAATGTTCCAAACTCCCCATATTCCCCTTGGCCTCTCGTGGCTTGCTTCTGAAAATGTAAGGTGGTTCCATCCCTACACGCACCCTGTCCTTTCTATCTACTTCTCTTCTCCAATACCATCGCACGTACTGTGCTTTTGTATTGAAGTTCTTTTTCTTTAAAAAAAGATAAAACCAAAATTTTTCCCACAAACTATTGAATCCTTGTGTGAAACTATTGAATGCTTGTGGAAATTTATATCCTGTGAAGATAACAAGAAGTTTACAGTCTATCATACAGCATTTCAGTTTTCATGAGTTCATGGTATTAAAGGCCTCCAAGCAATCCTGCCTTTTATGAAGAATGAATGACTGATGATGTGTAACTGTGCGGGCGGGTCCAAGTACTCTAGGCTTAATTCACACCATTTGAAGGGTTTTCCTTACGTCATCTTGGTCATGCTGCTCAGGCGGGGTTGGAGTCTTCACAGCTGCCTGCTTCTGCTGAGGCTTCTCATCCAAACAAGGTTTGAAATCAGCAAGGATGGCTAGCTCCTCCACTGCTGTGACTACAGTCTCGATCCTGGATGCTATCTCTATGAGAAGAGAGGCCATTGTCACAAGAGGGAGCACCTCTATGAGAGGTGAGACATTGGTTACTGGTATCTGTTGTTGTTGTTGCTGCCTCTTCTCTAGTTGTTGGGGTAAATCTTTTAAGGATTCTTGGAGGTCTTTTACTGAATCGGCGAGTTGGGTGGTC